GTTCGACGTATGCGTGGGTGTGGACGCTTTGCGGTTCTTTGTCGGCCTGGTCGCCTGCATGGGGTGAGCGGATCGTGTGTGCGGTTTCGACACTGGCAGGGCAAGTGGGGTAGCACGTAGGACGAATTTCGGCGGATGTATGAATAGTTGAATAGTTTTCAGCAGTGTTACAAGTAATACTTTATATCAATACGCCACATGTCTGATCGATGCCTGTTGGATCAGACTTTTGAAGACTGGCTCGATTCTGGAGGTTACGGATGCAGACCTGAATTTACTTGAAGCAATTCACTCCAGCTTTCAACTCCTTGATCTGATTGGCAGTGTTTTGTTGAGGTAGGACTTTTAGAGGCCAATAATCCAGAAGCATGACCAACTTGGTGGCCGGAGCTGACCTGGAGTTGAGCGTGTACGTCTCACTCATAATGTTGAGTCGCATCGGAGTCTTGGTTTTTAGTAACATGCCTGCCGTAGTGATTAATACGCCGGCCACGACAGTCAGCCAATAGGCATTCGGAGTGTGCCAACCTCATTAAACCCGTACTTACTCAAGAGAATTAAGCAACCCTGCTTCCGTAAATATGGAACCGCTGTCATCTGGAAGAAACACCTTGCTGTTTGCACATCCCTATCGAGGCAAGCAGTGTGCTTTGAACTCCAGACAGCCACTCGTCTGTCCTTTTTACTTTAGCAATTCTGACGAATTTGAAGCCAAAATCAACAAATAATCCACTCAACATAGTCCTCTGAGTCATCGCGGCGCACAGTCCCAACGACTACGACAAGATAGCAAGCATTAGTTAATATCTAGTATAACAATAACTATATATATATATATATATATATATATATACGGTCAAGCTAAATAATGTCTGTCGGTATCTGGCCATAAGTGTGTGCCTTGAATAGTGCGGGTCACCAGACCCCTTTGTGCATACATCAGCCATGCTCAGTAGCCGTCCCCGATTCGGACTAATGGGCCGCCAACCTGGTATGCTGTTGACTTTAAAGCGTCACCCCGGTGCTCTCCCCGGTCACATTCCCTCGGGCTTACACCAGGCACGGAGAAACTAGTACAAATCACATGGGGGTACGGCATATTGTTCGTGGCTTTCGTGACATGGGCATATTCGGACACCAGCCAACCATACACCTCTACTAACATTAGTTATGACGTGTTAAAAAAAGATTTCCATCAGACACCCAGTGTGTGACCGCGGCAAGATCCAAAGCCATGTTGGACGGTGTTGAGTCACATCGGTAGTCAATATGAGAAGCACAACGGAAAAAAGTCGTACCAACGCAAGTCAGACATCACTTCAGCAGCACGGCGGGGAAGAAATGAATAAATAATCGATTGTATTCATTGAGGAAGGTTATTCTGACTCTAGTTATGATGTTGGCCGTTTACGAGCAGTACGCTAGCGATTCCACGATTTATGCTGCTTGAACGTCTTAGTTAACGAAAAACTATCTCAATAAAATTCATGTTGGTTTGGAGATCACTATTGTTCGATTCCGTGAATAGTTGGTAAACTACACTCGGTTCGCGCGGAGTCTAATGGGGGGACATAAGGCTGTTTGCAGTAATCGCTCGCCATTCCGTCTTTCTCCGAAACTTCACCAGGTGTCCTTGACTATGATTCTATGGCAGTTACGCACCAGAATCTTTCAGTAGGGTATTGATGCCAATGATGATGATGATGATGATGATATGACGTTGATGACTGATGATAATGATGATTATGGTCGTGATGCTGATTAAATGCAATAGTGTGATGTCCGGCGGAGTAAGATCAGTGGACAAGCATTTAGAGGCATGCTGTCACCCACAAGTCAACATAACAGTGAGTGCTGGCACCAAGTATTTGTTTATCAACAAAGTGTTGATTTTGGGTTCAGTGCAGTCACGCTGTTCCATCATGATAGCTAAGCGATGTTCGATACACACAACAAAAATGGTAACGGTGACCTTGGTGGCATTCTCATATGTTAGCCTATACTGTTATCCATAAGATGAGTTGTCAGGCGACTATTGATCCGAAGATGGAACAAATTCTCCCAGTCCCGGCTGCTTGCGGTTAGCGCAAGTGCATATGATCGTCCATGCATTGGGGAGATTGAACCTCTTCCAAATGGCTTCATTGTTTTTCAGTAAGAAGGCAGCATAGGTAGGTAGAACAGGCAGCGTCCCTGTAAAGTGCCCAGTGACCAAATTTTGGGCGTCCCATTCTTCGGCTGGACCGAGATAAGCTGTTTCGGTCGTCCAGGTTTCACTGCCGTACAATGGTGAACGCAGGATAACAGCCCAATACACTGCGATCTCGGTACGTGCGATCCAATGGTAAATATACTCGACTGTTGTACTAGCCTTTGCATTTCATGCAATGACTTCACTGTCATGCGCTTTGATCTATAGATATTGTGTCACAAAGGTAGCAAAAATCCGCACAATAAACTATCTGACAAATATTCAGTTGTTGATCGCTTGGTTTTTCCACGGTTTTCATGCGGTATGAGCGAAAGTTGGACATTTCTATTCTTATGAATATCCTTGGTTGTCCAACCAGTTCAGCTGATCGATCAACTGGCCAGATTCAACCGTTTGAAATCCATTGATTGAACGTGAACCACAAATACAAAGATCGGTGAGCCAACAACTAGTTTCTGCCACTAACTCAGTCGGATATTGTTGCACCTTAACTAAATTTTTTGTTCGTATGACTGATTAACAACGCTTTGCAATCACTCCGCTACGAGCTGATCTAACACATAGCCATAACAAACTTCTTGCAACTACAGGTACGATTGATAAGCAGGTATCGTGAAATTTAAACTTTTCGTGTGGATTGCACAATCTGCCTTCTGTTCGTTTTAGTACTAGTGTAAATCCCACGGTTACCGGTGCGGTCAGGCCAGCGTGTAGACTACACAGGTTCAAACTTCCCTGGTGCCCTTCATTGTGTGCAACGGACCCCCATCTCAAGAGACATACGTATTTTCCACCTATGGAAACGTTCAAACATTCAATCCTTAAATTGTCACTGAACATCAACTTCGTCACATAACTAAGCTTTTCATTGAGCCACCCTGGTAAGGAGCATTTTATATTGATCGATTATCGATCTCAAGCCGGGAAAGTTGCAGCCAGTCGGTTTAAAGATGTGGGACGGCTCAACGAAAACGAACATAACGCATCTCACCAGATAAAAAAGTAGACCAGTGTGAATGTAAGCGTGCAAAAGAAAGCCACTTGAAGGATACTTGTTAGAGTTGGCGACATCCCCTAGTCTTGTGTTTGTGTGAAAGATGCCACAATAACAACCAGGATGGAGCTAATTCACAGATAAACAAAGATGCGGAATTCGTCCAAATTGGATACCGGAATGGGTAAATTCAGACCTTCCACTAGTTGGTGGAATCCACTCGTGATATTCCGAAGTGTCAGTAGTGGATGTCTCCTTTTTGTGATTCCCATATCTGCAGGATGAAAATTTATTCTATAAACTTCGGGATAGTTTTCTTCATCGTTCTCTTCAGCCACACTGTTGAAAGTCCGTCATCTGCTGGAAACCTTTGGAACAAAGCGAGTAATAAATATTTCCTGGTCATATACTAGTTAAGCGACTAGATGGAGCAAAATTTACCACAATTATTTTCCGATTGATTAACCACACAGCTGGGCTAAGCAAACAACCGAACGTGCTCTCATTTTTCTCTCCGAATGAAATTAGTACATAATCCATTGATGTAAACTCAACAGTAAGTTCAAAAATAGCGCATCCATTGGCATCCATTAGCAGGAGATATACAATAAAGGATTCACTACCACCATGTGGGGATAAGTCCGAAAAGTGAGGAGAATTCAGGTAACTGATGTACTCTTAGCGAGCCGCTCTAGCGTCGGCCTGGCGTTCATCAGTTTTTCACTAATCACCACTCGCTAGGTCACAACAGGATTTAAACACCGGATTTCCTACACATTTGAAAAGCAGATTACCCCTAATCCATCAGCTAAATCTTTTATGCAACTGCCTATGTCTAATTAGAAAAGAAATTTTAGTTGTTAGTTGTTGGCGGTTGTGGCACACTCACATGACTCCCGTTTGAACGATAATCCTCGTGTCCTGGCGTAATCATTCTGGCGCATCGGCACCATCGGAAGTTCGTGACGCTGTTACCTGACCGGGAAGCCCTGAAAGGCCACAACCGGGAAGGTTGGTAGATCGTTATTCGACCCGTTTGACAAACAAGAAATATCTCCAAAGCGTGGACAAAGTCGCCGGGTCAGACCTGATAATTCAGGTGTATGGCTTGGTACCACACTGGTCTTGGGGGGTCAGATGTTAGGGTTTCAACTTCCGATAAGGCCGCTGGTACGCACTTCTTATGAGCTCTACTGGGAGCAAAACTCGAGTCGGTGTTGTGTGCCATACCACCGAGACATAAGTAGGACTATTCAATTGGGAGTCATGTTAAGTCACGTTTAACAAATTCTGCAACCACGTACTACAGAGGTCGGCGTTATCAAATGGAAATCTACCACACTGATCCGTCACGATGAGACCAAATTATCCAGAGTGATGGCGGGCAGAATGTGCTCAGGCATTGTGCAATTTTGCAGCGTAGCTAAAACATTCTGTCAACACGTGAGTAGAAACTTATGCAGTAACTTCACTGTCAGTATAAAGTTCGAATAACAGACTCCTCAACATGCCTCATAGCAACCATTGCTACAGAGACGAGGGGTGGGTATAATTTCGACATACTGATAAAAGGGCTTGATTGTGATAAGACAACTAACGAAATAGATTGCAAGTCCCAGTGAGCTCTTTGTGCGAATGCAACGCAGTTAAGACAACTAACGAAATAGCTTGCAAGTCCCAGTGAGCTCTTTGTGCGAAGCTAATGGTCGGTCGTGGGTGGTATGTCGTTGAAATCTGATGACCATCGTGGCCGAGTTTGGAAACTGTAGCAACACCGGAAGTTGGAGTCATGAAAATCGGTCACCAGACCGCACAAATTAGATGCAAGTACTCATTGACAAAACTCCAAGGCATGTGGTGTGTTCAAGGTCATTGGGATAAAGTTTCTCATGTTTCATGTTCAAAAGAAAGAGCACAGCGAACAAAGCTTGGTTTGTTCGACTGTCATCAGACCGGGTCATCAAGAAGATGTCACGTGGAGCGTAAAGACTTATGCGAATAAAGGGATCGGTAAGTTGAAGCAGGCGAAAAAATCACCGCATTATTACTTGTGAGGGCGTAGCAGGACCGATCGCTGACCAACACAAGTTCAAAGGTTACATTAGCTTATTCTGAAAGCAGACCTTTGACCAAAGTTGTCGATTGCGTTCAAATTGTAATTAATCGTGGTCGATTTGAAAGCGTCCGGTAGATGACAAAAAGCATTTTTATAAAGGAAACTACTCATGAGATTGTTGGAAACTCTTTGACAATCCACGACCGTTTTTGCCCTTCGGGGGGCGGGAGGTACTTGCAGGCCCCGAGTTGCCTGCGTGAACCTTATGTTGTGTTCTACTCGAACCTGAATTTGACTGATTTCGACAGATACAATCATTTGCATATCAACTTGGTTTTCACGAGAAACTCATCTCAATCTATCATTTGTGATATTCTTTAACCAAGTGTTCCACAAAGGCCGCCTCATGTTTCAGTTAGTACGTTATACGGGATATCACAACCCATGGTCGTGTGCTGTTGGACAGTATTCAGCAATCTTGTGAGTAGTCCCTTTTATGGAAATATATTGCGCCATCTCGAAAGTTGTACCAAGTGAAACATGGGGCGGACCTTATGCAGCACATTCAGTTGAAGACTCTCACGAATGAGAGGCTCAGCTGAGTCTCCCGTGAAAACCAAACTGATATGGAAAGGAGTGCATTTGTCGAAAAAAGTCATCCATTGTACTTTGTGGGGTGATTAGTCTCGTTATACGATGAAGTTTATGACTGGCACCGTTCGACCGCACCACTCACATCATTTGCAAGTTCTCAGGCTTGTCATATCCCACCGGTGCACACAGTTAACTCATAGTGATTCAAGTTCGTTACTTGACTCGCTCCTTGGCTGTCACACATGAAGACAGGATAACAGACAGCGTTTTGATCTTCCACCCTGTTCTTTGTCAGCCTATCAGCAATTTCAAATCTCTTCTTTTCCCGAACAAATGAACAAATAGTCAAGCTCCGTATGTACCCTCCGGTTGATTTACAAACGTATTCGCAAGTTCAAGAATATGCCCCGATGGTGTGCAGTAAAATAGCAGTATTAGTGACAGCTGGAACCACCAACGGTCTAGTATTGGAATAACTCAGGATTTCCCTGAAAACACATGGAAGAGGGACAAACCTCCCAAAGAACTAAATATCTGCCTTGCTGTACCTTATGTCATCTTGGTGAATCAGTGACTTGTGTAGCTGCCCTTTTTTAGTGGGGTAAAATCCATCCCGCTTTTGTCCAGTATTTGGAAGCGTTTTTAATTGTTTGGCTGTATCGCTGAAGTTTTTTTGATTAAAACAACACAAGGGCATACTAAAAACATAATTATCCGCAAGTAATTTGGAGGGGGTTAGGGTTAAAATGACCGTATGGTTTATCTGGCTTTGATGAACACTGCTCAACTTTAGAATTTGTTCCGCTGTTATCTGATGCACATATTTATACTGTTTCCATTTGCGAATGCGTTTCTTCGTATATGCCATGATATACTGATGGCTGTAGGTAATACTGATTTAATGACCGGTTATCTGGACAGCTCTCAAAGCGAATACGGTAGTGCTTCTCTGGAGAGAAGGCCTACCGGCTGAAAAGTGGATCACAGCTCTTAAGATCAACTATTTATTATTATCCAACAGAGCTTCTCGAACTTATTGACCAGAAAGTCTGTGGTTCGAACCTGACCTCTACTTCTCGACTTGCCCTGTCTAGGCTTGGGAGACCTGGTAGTATCCCAGCCCTCCTGCAACCCTCGGGTTGCATGGCAGTTAGGCACCGAAAGGGTGCTACAGCTGAACGATCCACCAGAGCGATCAGTGGTTTTTGGCATCCCACACTTTTCGGAGAAATCAACTGGTGTGAAACTGACCTAAGATGGCTGAGGTGATTACATCGACGAGTACTGTAATTATGTTTAACTACCCATGAAAGGAAGAAGGCCTTTATTTATTTATTACAAAATGCCAACTGACCAGTCACAGACAGGGAAGCAAAACTCTCATTTGCGTCTTATTTACAAAAACTGGACAACCATCTTCTCCTGAATGCGCCTTCTTTCCTGGATATTCATTGACTCCAATCATTTATTGCTCAAATCCAAGCAAATGCTACAAAGCGACTCCACAAATTTCGCAACAGATCTTCATTTTCGAGAGACGCAAAGCGAATTTACA